AGTCTCATGGACTCTTGCTCTGGCTGGTTCTGAACCATAATCCTCAGATCTCAGCCTCCCAAGTAGCTGGGATTACTGGGATGAGCCACCAGTGCAAGGCTTTGTGTATCTCATGTTATAAAACCATTCCTTTCAGGTACATACCCAGAAATAACGTCAGAGCGAATGTAACTCAACAACCATTTTCATTTTTACCATCCAACTGTCACTGAGACAAGCATTTCCTACCATTTACACTGAAGTGAAGGTTCCCAAGAGACCTGGGGCACATTTCTTAACCTGTAGATCAGGAAACTGAGGCTGGGGGAGGATTCCTACCCCTACCCCTAACCTAAAGCAGTGCTTCTGTACTTGGCACTTCATTGGGACTTCATATAATACCCCTTTGCAGATAACTATTTTTCTAATTGCTCAGTCCTATGCAATTTCAATACCACTAATACATTGCCTATCTGTGGCTACATTAGATGTGTATTTGTATGCAAAGACTCCTGGTAAGAATGCTTGTGTTCTGAGCTGGGCACTGGCAGCTCACACCTATCACCCGAGCGGATCACAACCTAGGCAGGAAAGTCCATGAGACTCTTCTCTCCAATTAACCACCGGAAAAATCAGAAGTGGGGCTGTGGCTCAAAATGGCAGAGCATCAGCCTTGAGCATAAGAGCTCACAGACAGCACTTAGGTCCCACGACCGACCAACAAACCAACCAACAAAAATGTTTGTGTTTCTAGCCATAGGGGTGGTGGGTCTGCTAGAGCCTGGCTCCTAATCCAGGCTGTGACCCCTGCTTCTACTTACCTGCTAACAGCATCTCCTTTCTTGGCCCTTGCCCTCCTGTATCACCAGCTCCTGCAATGCCTTGCGTTCATCCTCAGGGCAAGGCACACACCCTTTCAGGTAGCACCCAATGCCTTCCTGATCTGGCTCTTGCTGTGCTACATTCCCTTCCCACACACTGTTCCCATGGTCCAAGCTAAACGCATGTGCCTGCAGCAGGCATATTTACTCTCTCCAGACTCATCCTCAAGCCCTCCTCTCCTGACTCACAGCTGCCTGGATATGAGATCCTACAGGGCGCTGACCTCAACTTCCCTACCAGGCTATACTGAAGCCCAGCTTGGGACTTATCCATCTCCATCCACTCTGCATCCTCTATTATATATGTGCTTGCCCATTCTTCCGATGGATGGTGAGGACAAGAGACTGCATCCTTGAATCATCTCATCCACTAATGCAAGGCAAAGACAGTTGGAAGCTGTAAATGGTCCATGCCACATGACAGTATAAACTTCATCATGCCATACATAACAGAACATGAAGCTGAGCCATCTAGACTCATAGCCTTTCTGAGCCTGGATGGTCCTTAGAGGAAAATGTACACCCCCCCACCCCCACATCCAGCTTTTAGTTTATAGTTTTTATGGCATGGGCACTGACTCAACTTCTAGGCTCCACAGTTACCACAGACCAGATCTGACCAGCACATTCCATCCCTCTGGATACCAGAAGACTCTGAGGATGGACAACTGACCTATGTCAATCATAATGGACACGACCTTGGGTCTTCATGAGAACTCTTTGAGAAGAAGAAAAAAAATCCCTGCTACTGGGCAGTAGAGACAAAAGATTAACATGGACCAGAAGTTAACTACATGGAAAGAGTTAGCAGGCTGCCTAAGAGAGCTCACACGAAGAGATTCCAGTGGGGGAAACACAGGCAGACCACACCAACCAAGCCCTCAGATCCTTGTTCCATTCTCTGGTCCAACCAGGCATTATGCTCCTAAAACTTGCAGTTCTGGGATCAACACAATTTTCCTCCTCTTGTGTTAAAGCATCTTGAAAGGAGATTTTTTTTTTTTAGCACAATATAACAGGGCTCTGACCCTCCCAGTACCTACGCCTGATCTGCACCATAGCAATGTAACAAATACTAATTCCCTTTCTCCCTTCTCATCAAAGGGAAGGTCCAAGCACGAGGCCTACCATACATACTGGTAAGAACCAGGTGAAATTGTGCCACCCAAATGCTTGCTACAATGCCTGGCTCCCGAGATAGACCCACCCACTGGACACCAACAAGTCCTATAGCATCATGTGCCATGAGACATGGGTAGAGGGATGGTTCAGGAATCCTAGGTTTGCTTCTCTACTTCTTCATGAATCCACTAAGTGACAGTGTCAACAACTCCCTGTGAATGCAATCAGAACCCAGAATACGAGCTAGGAAGGGTCCGTTCTCGATGGTGATGGTTGTGCTGCCATGAGGAACTGGGCCGATCTGTGGGTGTCAGCGAGGCCTGCATCAAAGGCACGATCAGGAAGGAGGGTTTGATCTGCCTCATGCTCTACTTATGTCAAGTCCGTTTGCCAATCACCCACTCTTACTGTGTCTCAAAAGGCAAGAGAACACTGCTGTTCTAGCTTCAAACCCTCACTGCCAAAGGACACACACGTCTCCGCTGTACTTGCCAATTCTCTCTGGGAGCTCTCTAGTGCTTCCTTCTTTCACGTTAATAAAAAGGAAAAAAAAAAGTTGGACAGAAAAAAGGGCCCTTGTCCCTCTAGGCTGTTCTCCTGCTTAGCCAACTCATCCATCCTAAAACTAATTCAATTTTATTTGCTTTGCTCCGTAAGGATTTTCTTTTTAGCCTTCATCTCTGTGCTATTGGCATTGAGAATTTGGTTAAAAAACAACAACTCAAATCTACTGAGTGAAACCAAGTTTTAGAATATACACATACACTATTATAAAATTATGTTAGGCATAGGGTGATTAACACACTTTCCATTTGGTCTTTTTCAGAACAATAAACAGTTGTCATTTCCTCAAGGTAAAAAGAAGGCCACACATCTTGAGTGATTGGAAGGGTTTAAAAAGCTGTCTTTACTAGGGGCACAACTCTCTTCTACAATACGTGGGCAGTAAACACTTCGTTTTTAGCTGTGTGACATCTGTGTCTGCTCGACTATGTGGTCCTTCTAGGGTTCTGTGGTGTCTTTTCACAGATGGGCAAATGACAGTGGTGAACCTGAGAAACAGGCCTGAGGTTTTTGTCAGAACTACTTGGTTATGATGTTTCTTCTGTGGTTGTTTTCACTCGGAGACAGGCTATGTAGCCCAGGCTGGCCTTGAATTTGAGATCCTCTCACCTCAGCCTCTTCAGTGCTGGGATTATAGTTATGAGTCACCATATCTGGTTTTAGAAAGTGTGTCTTGATGCTGGGATGGCTAAATAGTGTCTGTAGTCTGGCAAAAGAATGTGGGACAAAGACTTAGAGACTAAAAAGATCCCAGTCACAAGTAGAGCCAAGAGTCCCTGTTAATTTCCCACAATCATTTTAACTTGCATTAGAAATCTCCATTGACCAGTGAGTTCCGGCTCAGTATCTGCCTGGAAAAGGGAATGCAGGGAGGTAGTTCATCCCCTCCTGGTCAGCAGCAGTGACAGGTTTATCGTTACAATCAAACACCTGGGGAAGCCTGAGATGGTGCCTTTTGTTGGCCCAGGTTCTAGTCCCTAGACCCCAGGACACACAGGAAGGAGACCTGCCTGTACGTTCTGTGAATCTCACCTTTGAAATCCATCTCCAGGCAACTGATGCCTGCCCCCTGCCTTAGGACCAACCCTGCCATCACTGGCTCTCCCGTTGCTTTGCTGCAGCTGCTTCCTTTGCCTGTCTCTCACCTGCCCTGCTTCAATCTCTGCACAGCAACCAGGTCATCAAGTCGCATCATGTCACTCTTCTGTACCAAACCCAGTAGGTGTCATAGCCACAGGTAATGTGCCATCGAAGGCCCTCAAGGCTGACCATCGCCTGACCCTCTTCTACTCTGCCTCTCCACTCATGCTCCTGCCACTTACATCATGGCAGCATGCCAGCCCGCCCCTCACCCAGGTGCCTTTGATCTTCCCTCTGCCTCGAGGAGCACGGGGTTAGGCTGAGATGGAGCCCATCTGATTCCCTCATGGAGGCCTGTTCATCTGTCATTGCCCCGCTTAGATTTTTCCATCGCCAGTCTGAACATGAAACTGTTATGTTCCTATTCTTCCCAGATTTTCTTTCCTGGATGACACACAACATCGTCTCAGGACTTACATCTTAATTGTTTATTGGCCTGGATCCTCCACTCACTGGAGGCTCGATGAGAACTGGAATTGTTAAGTTGCTCACCTTTGTATTACAGGTGCCTATCCAGGTGGCAGGTTCTCAACCTTAATTGAAGGAATGCAAAGTAGGGAGGGAAGGAGGGAGGGAGGGAGGGATCAAAGGACAACACCTGTTTCTCCCTGGTGATGCTTGTTAGACTTTGGTCTGGGAGGGGCAAGCAGCCAGGCCTGTCAAGTGGCCAGCCTGGCTTTCTCAGGTGAACTGGCTGAGAGGGTCTAGCTAAGAAAACACAGAATATTGACAGAGACTCAGGCAGCGGGAATGGCCCTGGTGGGGCACAGTGGGCACCATCGGGACAATCATCACAGAAGGGTGGCTTACCACTTGCCACTTTTACATCACCACTATTAAATATGACATTATACATGAACTGGATCCGTACTATCCCATTTAATCTTCAGCAAAAGGCTATAAAAACAGCATGAAGGTGAAGAGGACTTACTCAGTGGCTACAGCCAAGTGGTATGTGGTCTCAGAGAACCAGGAAATGCTCTGGAACTTAGCAACTCACTTGGCAGGCTCACAAACTAAAATTGGAAATGGGATGTGAATCCAGCAAACAGCAGAGCTGGGAAGCTTCAACTTGGATCTCCCCCTGCTTTTCAGGCAAAACCTCCTTGGTACTTAAATCCTGGAAGCTTACACCTCAAAGGTAAATGTTTTGGCCTGTGTCATCTTCCAGAGATAAGATCTTGTCACTAGCTCTCAGCTGGCTCAGTTTTCATGGGTGAGCAACAGCTGGCCAGCGTGCCCCCCCACCCCATGCCCCCTCACACACTCATCCCCGCCCCCCCCACACCCTGTGGGAGCTCCTCCATCACTCACCTCCAGTACACTAGCACAGCAATGAGAAGGACGAGGCACACGAAGGTCAAGGCTGATACCACAATCAGAGGGATGATCCACTCCATCCTCCCTGGAGAGGGCCGGCTTATCATTCCAGAGGTGTTCTTCTCTGCTGCCAAGAGAAACCATCCCAGTTAGACCACCAAGGCAGGCCAGGGAGCGCGCCTGGGGGAGCCCCAGCATGATGTGGCGCCCCACCCCATTCTGTGTGGTTTCCAGTGAACTCAGCTGCTCACCCTGGGCTGTCCTGGAGGAGTAGGGGTGAGGGGTGGGGCAGGAAGGGAAGGCTGCAGTCCTTTTGTGTCCTGCTCTGTCCAAAGCCGAATACAGCCTCCTCTGCGGGTGGTAATTTCTACCGGTCAGTAGGATGGATGTGCTGATGAAGTTTGTAAGTAAGATGTTTGTAACAAGAGCTAGGCAGGAGGAAGATGACCTACCTGACTCCACAGACACTCCCAACCCATCCAACTCTGGATGCACTGAGACAATGCGACTCACTGCTTGGAGAGGGAGAATGTCCACAGGAAGTGCCCTGGGTTTCTGGAGAGGTCTAAGGAAAGCCAGTCTGGACCAAGTGGCCATGGGTTCTTGCTGTCTTCCCACCCATTGTCCTCCCACAGTGACTCCACCCTGCTCTGTTGGACAGGGTCAGGGTGGGACAGCCATTCAAGGGTGGAGCTCCAGCTGGGCCAGCCGGCGGTGGGTGTGGGACCAGGGCAATGATACTCTCACCCTGGTGTCTGCACCCATCCCTTCTGCTCACAGGCTTCCCCTGCCTGGCTCCGTGAAAGTTCCAGCTCCCAGGAGCCCAGAACCTACCCTTGATCCTTCCAAAAGCTCCCACACCAGTGAAGACAGGAAGCCACACTCACTCAGCTCTAAGTAGCCAGCCACACGCTTGCCGTTAAACAAGGCAAGTCGGCCAATGGGTTCAGGATTTTCTCCTTAACGAAGACGTCTTACCCAGGCATCTGTTTTTCTCCGCTGCTGCTCCAGCCCCCCACGAGCCTCAGCACGAGAGCCTAGTCTCTCTTGAGGCACCGGAAAATGGCCAGGTGGCTCCAATGGAGCTCAGAGGCCAGACTAGGCGGCTGGAGAACAGCACAGGTGTACGGAGGTGAGGGGGAGCGGAGACAGAGGTGAGAATGCAGAGGGATGGCTTGAACCATCGGAAGCTGGCTGCAGCTGGTTTGTGCTGGGCAAGGATTCCACCCACTCTGTGAAAATGAGGCCAGCACACTGCCGGCCCAGTGCCCCTCTGCAGGATGGACTAAATGCTGGGCTAATCAGGCTGCGTTTCCCAGGGAGGGAAGGTGGGCTGAGCAGAAAGACATAATTGGCCTTGAGAGATATTTAAAGAGGCAAGGCTCCGGAGCTGCGAGGAGGTGTGTTCTGGTGGGTTTTACTGGGTTTCCTCTCAAGGACTTTCCACCCAACACCTTTGTTTAGGCACAGGCCCCTGGGACAGGTGGGGCCTTATTATCTCCAACTTACAAGTAAACACACAGAGCCAAGCAGGGTAAACACACTGATTCAAAACCACTACAGATCATCTTACTGTAGCCTTCCTGGCTGTGCCAGCTCATTTCTCTGGGCCCCATTTTACCTTGCATGGATATACCAGCTGGCCCTACTGTGTGCCAGACACAGGGCTACAGGATGGGGAGGGAGCAGCGCCTCAGACAGAAGCAATTCTCTGCACGAAGGGGAGGAGTCATTTAAAGGAGAAGAAGCAGCCCCCCCCTCCCCCAAGGGGCAATCAGCATGCAAATACAGGTTACTGGGAAGCACTCAGGGAAGATCTGAAGGATGGAGAGTCAGCCAGGAGAAAATATGACCACAAGAGATACATGACCAAGAGGGAAAATTAGAATCCAGATCAGCTAGAGCCTGGGAGGCTGAATTAGGGGGGAAGTGGTTTCAGATCTAAGCTATGGTAATAGTGGCTGAAACAAGAGGGAGACAGACATCAGACATAGAGTGTTTTGACTGTGAAGTCCTTGTGAGGAACCAGAGTTGCAAATGAGAATGAATTTATGAAGCCCCATCAGGGGTCAGCTCAGCCAGGCAATTATCTGGTGGATGTGGGGGTGGGGGCATCTCAAAGACCTGCAGGTACTGTTAATGAAAAGAAAACAATGTCAGGAGGCCTGATAGACAGGTCACGTGTCCAATTAACTCAGTATTTACCCTGGGAAGGCCTCAGGTGCTAGGGGACTCCCCCAGTGTCTTATTTCTCTGCCACTCCTTACAGAAAAGGATTCTTGACGGTGGGATTGTGGCAGGCAGGATGCAAATCCTTCTCTTCTGTCCTAAACCCTCGCAAAGGTTTCTTGGTCCCAATAATGCCTTCTGCGTGCATTTCTAACCAGTTATTGGAAGTATCAGCTGCACAGTACTTCTCCTATCTGAAATCCTGTAATACTACTGCAGACTTTCCAGGCCTTCTTGGGGGCAGAGAAATGATCTTGTTGTGAGGGAAATTAGCACTGTATTTATTCCTGAAATTACATGGACAGCTCTGGAAGAGCCCTCCCTCCTCCTCTGCAAGGTTGAGTTGTTCCAAGTTCTCCCAGGGGGAGATCCAGGATCCAGACAAGATTGTAGCTATTAGCATGGGCGTGTCAGTGTTGCTGGGGGACAGAAAGGAGGTCTGGGCAGGGTGAGGGTCTCAAATTCACAAGCGAATCAGGTTCAGAGCTGGGCTAGACTCTGGATGCACCATTCAGAGTCATTTCATCATACCATGTGGGGCTCTGGAGTCCTATTTTGGGGAGGGGGAAGGATGGAGACCACCACTGGAAATCCTCCACCCTCAAAGGCAATGTCTGGAGATCTCAAGTTGCAGCCAGCACCTTACAACATGAAGAAATGGAAAAAATTGCTGCCCACCACAGCCGGATTCCTAGCCTGGTAGATAGTCGCATTTGCTGAGGCCTTTTCCATGAAGAATAGACATATGAGTAACTACTGATTTGCACGTGGGGCATGAGGATGTCGATTTCATTTTCAAGTTCACATCATGCCTCTGTCATCATGGCACTTAGGGTCCTAGAACTGGATTCTATCTCCAGGTGACCTGAAATCTTGTCACTATCCTGAGGAGCCCCTCTTGGCCCACGGTCGTGAGTCCCTGCACAGCCAAGTCCTAGCATCCTTGATTGGCATCCTCTCCTCCTATCTTCTAACCACACCTATCTGCCCCCTCTTTGCCTTTGCCCTGCTGTTCTCACTACCAGAAATGCTCTTCTCCTCTGGCCCCTGGGAGCTCTTCTAGGACCCTGCTCCTGATTCTGGAGCTATCTTCTCTGTGAGGTCTCCTTATGCCCTCAGTTTGTGTTATCTCTGGAGGGTGGAGTAGTTAAGATCACAGGTTCAAATCTCATCTCTGCTGCTTCCTGTGTGACCTTTAACCAGTCACTTAAAAACCAATCTGGTTTACAATGGGATGAAAAAAAAGGCTACTTTATAGGAGGGTTAGGCACATTCACTGAGAAATTATGTGTAGGATGCTTAAAAGTGAGTAAATACAGTCATCGTCATTATGTTGTGCTGCTTGCTGCTTCTTGTGGACAGGACACTCAAGTACAAACTGTTCCTAACTACAGCAGGATGGATTTCCATCTGGCCTTCAGCAGAACAGGAAGAAAGCTCTGCTTCTTACTAGCTGTACAAGTCTGGGTAAGGGAACCAACCTTCTTTGTGCCTCAGTTTCCTCCTCTGTCAACGCAGATAATGTTGTGGACTGTTATTGTGATGGTGGTGGTGTGAGGATTAAATTAGTACATGTCCAACACTCGGAGAGTGTTGCTGGCACTCGGCAGGACCTGGCTAACGTTAGCTGTTGTGACTGTCAACGCCGCCATCTGCAGAAGCATAATCCTCGTCACCATCACCACCATCCGGACTCTCTTCCCCACCAACATCGCAGCACGGCACACCAGGCAGATGGTGCCGGGACGGGTGTCCGCTGATTCTGACTCCTCCTCCCTGTCGTACCTGAATGCATGAGTCACAGCCACACGGCACCTCGGATGCAGGGCGTGGGCACAGGGGCTGCTGACTGTGGCACTGCCGCAAAGAAGCTGCAACCTCACAGTCTTTCCTGAGACAAGACCCCCATTCCTGCCATCCTTCTGCAAGACACCTGTCCTACTGCTGGCTATATCTGTGGAGCAAGCTGCCAGGAACTACTAAGGACACACAGAACCCTGCACTGTCCGCACCTCTACATCTCAAGGAACCTTCCCCAGGCCAAGACACCCAGAGACCAGGGAACGCTAGAGAAGCCCCATGATTTCTGGAATCCATCCGAGGACCCCCAGTGGATACCTGATGCCTTCTAGATTGCTTTCTCCTACGCACTGTTTATGAGAAAGCTTCATGCAGAAAGAAGTGGTATGAGAATAACCATAACTAATAGTGAAAGACAGCACATGTTAATAGCACGTTAGGGTGAGAGCTATGTGAATGTGGTCTCTCTCAACATATCTTACTGCTCCTTAACAAACCCAATGTATGATTTTCTTTTTATTAAGCCTTTTCTCATAAAGGAAGCACTTCAGGGCTTCTTTTAGGCATACAAGAATTGCTAGCATCACCACTCTGCTGTGGGGCCATTATGAAGTAAACTGAGGGTAATTTAAGACAATGGGGACCAGGTACCCAGGGACAGCCAATCTGATAACGAAGATAGCTATTAGTAGCTAAGAAAGAGTGCCATGCATACTATGTGAAAACAGTTGAGTAGGATGAAGCAAAACTCTGTCAAGTTTCTTCAGGCTACTCAGAATGGTACACAATTTACAACTGTTTGCTTCTAGAATTTCCCATGTACTATTGTTATTATGCAGTAACTTGCATATGGGTAATTTACACTGTGACAGGCAAAATGAGGGTTAAAAACCTTCTGCATCAACGAAGGCAGTGTAATTCTGATGTCTTGAACATCAGAATCAGGCAGACCTGGGTACAAGCTCTGACTTGTCTCTTGTTGTGGCTTTTGAGCAAATGAATGCTCATCACTGAGCCACACGTCTGTCCTCTATCAAAAGGAGATACGTGTTAATATCCCCCTCTCCAGGGAGCCATGAGGATTAAATGAGATAATCT